GCGAGGCTCACTGAGCCATTTATCCCTCCGCCCTTCAATTAACCCCACATGTGTTTATCAGCCAGGTTGGCACAATAAACTAACTACCTCAGCCCACCAAAAATAAAAGCAAAACTGGCTCCCGTGGACTCCTTGTGTACTCACAGGGACCCCTGTGGATTCTGAGACAGTGACTATTGATGGCAGTAGAAAGCTCACTCGTTGTCCTGCGGGGCGGCTGGTGGTTTCGATCGAAGCCCAACTCGTCCCCACTAGACCATCAGGGTTCCTCTGGTAGATGACACTGTGTTCTTATGATACTGAATCACTCACCCACTGCGGGCCCAGAGGACACAAACAACTTACTCAAGGTCACAAGGAGAGCCAGGGCTCAAGGCTCCCTCCATCTGAGTCCAGAGCCCCTGCACTGACCCAGAATGTATGACCCTCCTGAATGATGAACAGACTAACAGATATTGTAGAATGCTCATCGTCCATTCAGAAGACCCAGGCTGGTGGCCAGCCAGCGAGGCCCAGGTGAGCCCTGGCGGGGTAGTGGTTAAGCGTTGGGTTTGGATCCGAAAGGTCCGCAGTTCAAAGCCGCCAATGCATTTCTCGGCAGGAAGACAGGCCTTTCTACTTCCATGAAGAGTTACAGTCTCAGAAATTCACGGGGCCAATTAAACCGTGTCCCCTGGTGAGTTTGGCTTTGGAGTTTTTTGAGGCCCTGTGCAGCTACCACCCACCCACCCGTGGGGAATCGCCCGTCGCCCACCGCTATGATGCTGAACACCTTCCAGCAGAGCTTCCAGACTAAGATGGGCGAGAAAGTCAGGCCCGGTGACCTACGTTTGAAAATCAACCCAATAAGCCCTTTGGGTCACTAGCCGATCCACAGCCATCAGAGATGGGGACGCACGGGGCATCTGCCTGCAGTTTTGCAAGGTGTTGCCATGAGCCCGACAAAGCCCTTGTGGCACAGCAGTTACGCACTAGGCTGCCACACAGACATTGGGTGGTTCAAGCCCACCAGAGACCGCTGGGAGAGAGAGCCAGGCCAGTGCTCTCATGAAGGCCAGAGCCGTTGGACTCTGTCCTACAGGGTTGCTGTGAGTCGGACTTGCCCAATGGCACCCAGCATCAGCAAGGGCCCTGAGGGCGAGTGCCGGCGGCAGCAGGCACCAGGCCCTCACTACCCAAGACCCCAGGGCAGCCAGCCCGGGCAGCACAGAGCCTGGACCGGGACGTACCTGGGCGGAGCTCTGGAAGGTGAGCTGGGCAGGGAGCAGCAGGATGGCCTCGTCCTGGACCTCTCCGGCGGCGAGCTGGGCCATGTAGCTGACAGCAAAGGCATCTCCAGCTGCTCAGAGAAAGGCAGGCGGGTCACAGGAGGGGTGGGCCTTGTCCACGCAGTGACTCCCCCACCACCCCCAGATCAATGACACATCGGCTTTGGGGGCTCCAGAGGAGGCTGCCCCCACCCCGCAGAGTACAGTTACAGTGTCATTAACCCTGTGTGTGGAGCGAACTCCCTGGGGTGGGGGACACATGGGGCAGAATTAAGGCACAACCACTTTCTCCTCGGGACAGGGGGTTTAGGGAGTGCAGGAGGGTCATTCGGCTCCGGCTCACCTGGGTCTCACCTGGGCACCCCAGCCTCATGCCCATCCAGCACTGCCTGGGGCTAGGCTTCTGGATTGAATCTTGTGTCCACGCTCCCCGTAACTCCCACTGAACGACCCTTTCCTGATGGGGAAGATGCCCACAGTTGTGGGAGCTTGCGAACGGGCTTCACTAACATTTCCCCCATAAAATGAGCCCTCTGAAAAGCAGGTGGGAAGTTCTCCCTACTCGTCAGAGACAGGAGTGGGGCACATCTTCTGGACCCCGATACCCCCACACACAGTGAACCTCCTGGATCGGAAGACAGCTGTGACACCAAAGACGCAGCAGCGGAACCAGGAGCCAGAGCCGGAGCCGGAGCCGGAGCGTGGACGTGCCAGCCCACAGAGCGGAGGGTTTGGGGGCAGGAGGCTGGCTTGTGGAGCAGGGTGTCTCTGGGTGGAGCCGAGTGCCTTTGGCCTGTGGAAGACCCTTGAGGAGACGGATGGACCCAGTGGCTGCCACAATGGGTTCCAAGAAAAGGACCGTGGTGAAGATGGCACGGAGCCGGGCAGTGTTTGCTTCCACGGTACAGCGGGTCGCCATGGGTCAGCACCGACTCCGTGGCACGGAGCAACAACCGCAGAGTCCACCACAAACCCCACAGTCCTGAGCACCGTCTGCAAGTGGCAACCGCAATGGGTGACCAGCCCCGAGCAGTGGAGCACAGAGCGCTGTGGGAGGCAGAGCAAATGGTGTTCCCCCCAAAGTGCGTGCTGCGATCCTCACCCTGCCCTGTGGCGGGGGCCCCACCCGGGATGGCAGGCTGGGTCCGTAGGAGGGTCTTAAACCTGATGCCCTTTGAGACCTGGAGGAGCAGCTGAGACCCAGAGAGACGCCATCCAGCGTGGGGGGAAGACGGACGTGGGAAACGAGACAGGGGGCTTTGCCCAGAAGTGAGAGTGAGGCAGAGACAAGGACAGAAGCAGAGAGAAAGGTCAGAGGCTCCCACCGGACGTGCATCCTGAATTCGGACACCTAGCCTCATGAAATAAAATTCTGTTGGTTAGAGCCAGTTCTGCCGGCTGGCCTTCGGAGGGAACGCAAGCCAGTGGGGGTCAGACTTCCCGCCTGGGATTTCGGGAGCTCACAGGCTCAGGGCAGACACCCCGGGCCCGATAGTCCCCCTCTGTCGCAGGAGAGGGTCTGCCATCCCCAACCCCACCACCAAAGGTATTTGTCATGGCCTCCCACGCGTGTGGAAGCTGGACAGTGAATACAGAAGAGCCGATGCATTTGAACGGCGACGCTGGCTAGGAAGGCTAAGAGCGCCTAGGACAGCCAGGTGAACCCACAAGGGCAAGAAGTGCAGCCAGCGTGCTCCTTAGAAGCAAGGATGGCGGGGCTTGGTGGCATGAACGTTGGACGTGTGGTCAGGAGAGACCAGTCCCCGGAGAAGGACAGCGTGCTTGGTAAAGTGGAGGGGCATCAAGAGAGAGGAAGGCTCTCAAGACGACAGACTGGCACCGTGGCTGGAACAATGGGCTCAGGCCTGGGGTCACTCGTGAGGAGGAGGCCAGACTGGGCTGTGTTTCCTTCTGTTGTCCACGGGGCTGCTAGGGGTCAGAGCCAAGCCACCATTACCTATCACAATCCCCTTACACCGAAATGAAGAGGTTCTAACCCCTGGCATGCGGGAAGGTTACTTTGCGTGGCCCGAGGAGCTGTGCTGATGGGATGGGAACACTGTCCTGGATTCCGGGGGAGGAGGGAGAGCTGGTGCCAGGGGTCTTAGAGGAGAACGCAGAGGAAGACAGGGTTCAGACAGAACGGGGGGAGGCAGGGTGACCACAGAGGCATCTTCCGGCCAACGTCTTGAAGCCCCGGGAGGGTGCTGAGTGCCCGCTGAGGTTACCTGGCAGAGACTGCTTTCTGAAGGCCTGGAAGCCCCGTGACGTCCGATTTCCGACAGACTCCCGCACACTCAGGCCCGAGACATTGTCCAGGAGCAGCAGGTCTGAGAGGTCGGTGGTTCGGGGTGACCTGGAGTTGTTCACCAACAGCCACACCTGGGCTGTCCAGGCTGCGCTCTGCGTGGACACCTGGGATGCGAGGGAACAGAGCCATGTGGATCTGTGGGGGGTGGGGGCTCCTGCTCCCCCCCGCCCCATACCCCATTCGGGCAGAAGGAGGGGCTACGGCCCCTGCACCCTGTGCTCTGCTCTGGGAGAGGAAGGAGGGGGGACCACGAACTCCTTGCTCTATCAGGTCACTTCCTGACTCCTAGTGACCCCAGAGGGCAGGGTAGAACTACCCCCCGTGGGTTTCCGGGATGGTCAATCTTTAGGGGAAGATAAAGCTTCATTGTTTCCCCCCAAAGGAGTCCCCGGTTGTTTTGAACTGCTGACCATGCAGTGGACGGCCCAACACGTCACCACTACCAATGCCGGCTCTGCAGAAAGGGTGGAGCCACAGCTGCAAGTCCCACCCACAGACCCGCCTCCCTCTGACTCCTGAGGTCCCGGGCGAGCTCCGACAGACCGCCGGTGCACCTGATGACTGCAGGTGTGGTTGTTAGTTGACCCCCAACTGAAACCCTATGGGCTGCAAAGGCCTGGGGGCCCCCATGCGTCAAGACCGGCAGCAAGCAACCACAGCAGACACCCGGCTAGCCTACACAGCCCTCCCACAGCAGGGGCAGAACAGGAGAACTAACAGTCACTCAACGGCTCTCTTTAACTGTCGAGCACTGCATCCACGTCCACACGCCTGCAGAAATGGCACCTGACTTTCCTGCCTTTAAACGCTCACAGGGGCTGTTTGCTGCCAATCAGGGGCTTATTAGGAAAAACCCCAACCATGGTGCAGCCACGTGGCAGTGACATCATCTCCTGTCAACTTGAGCAAAGGGGTGGAGTCTAGCCTATCCATCAGATCATGGCCAATGTGGCCTCTGTGTGGGCGTGGCCTTCTCCTGAGGATTCTGGGAATTCCTGTCTTCTTCCCAGAAGGTGGGACACCCACTCTGTGTGCTACACTTTCTTGTTGACCAGCCATGTGGAGCCACGCTGATGGAGCCAGAGCCCTGGAGCTGGAGGAGCCACGTGGAGACCCCTGTCTGCACTAAGATGCTTCCACTGCCACTGGGTCCACACACTTTCCACCCACTGGCCTGTGATCTTCCTGCATTCAGCATCATTGCATGGCTGCATGAATCTCAAGAAGAATTTATGGACTAGTACCAGACATATGAGCTAATATCAGACTCATGGACTTGATCTGGACGCTTTGATATCAAGTTCTCTCTTACACATACATGAGTGTCAATGAATTTGTTCCTCTGGTCTACCCAGACTGACACAAGCCACAAGGAAACATAAGATCCCTCGTCAATGGCTGCGGGGAACCCTGAGTTCTGCCTGTCCTGAAATATGTGTTTAAGACTCAACTTGCATAGGAGCCCCAGTGGCATGGTGGGTTCCTGTTGGGCTGCTAACCACAAGACCAGCAGTTCAAAACCACCAGCGGCTCTGCAAGAGAAAGATGAGGCTTTCTGCTCCGATAAAGATTCACAGCCTCGGAAACCCACTGGGGCAGTCCTCCTGGGGGCTATCGGGCTGCAAGGCATCAGAATCGATTCCGTGGCAGGGGGGGACGGGGGACGAGGTAGTGGCATTCGATTGGAGCCACGTCCCGTTCTTTTCTCTTCCAAAGGATAAGCCCTGGAGGCGCAGTGGGTTGAGTGTGGGGCTACCAACCAGAAGGTCAGTGTCGGCCTCCGAAACCACGGGGCATGAGCACACGTCCCGCAGGGTCTCGGTGAGATGCAATCGACTCAGCACAGCAGGGAGTTTCCTTATGATCTGGGCCCCCTCTCTGGCTCCCAAACCAAATGGTAAACCTACTGCTGTGGAAAGGAGCCCTGTGGTGGAGTGGTCAGCAGCTCAAAACCACCCAGACCGGGCTTTCAGCTCCCAAGCTGTCTCAGAAACCCACAGGGGGTCCCATGAGTCAGCATCAACTGCAGGGCGGCCAGTTTGGTTTGGATTGTGGTTCTCATTGCTGCGGCGTCCACCCGACAGAGGGTGGCCCCATGTGGTCCAGAGCAGAACCGCTCCTTGGGGTTTTCTGTGCTCCTTTTTGCAAAGGAGCCCTGGTGGCACACAGGATCAAGCACTTGGCCGTCGGAGGGTGGAAGCCGCCCGTTCAGATGCGAGGCGGGAGAAAGCCCTGGCAGTCAGCTCCCATCACAAAGATCACAGGCCCGGCCACCCCAGGGGGCAGTTCCACCCCGTCCCAAGG